TAGAGATAGGGTAGAGAATAGGTAGCTAGAGAAATGGGGCAGCGCATGCCAAGGGGGGTTATGTTTCAAGAAAGAGGTAGTAGTCAACTGTGTGAAATGCTGCCAAGAAGCCAAGGAAAATGAGGACAGAAAAATGAACATAGGGTTTGGGACCTGGCCTACCACCCTGAGCTCTGACGTCTAGTGTGTCTGCTTAGGTACTTCATGCTTTCTCACGTAACATTCATAACACGTTTATATCAGGTAGACCACCTATCATGGCTAATTTCAAGGAGAGTACTGGACTTCCTAGGTATTGTTTTTCATAATTGGATGTATATGGAGACCTGTTTGTTTGCTCTGAAGGAGGAGGAAGGAAAGGTGTTGGTACGTGGGCACTTGGGGACAAGGAAGGAAAAGAGAGATAGGGAAAGGTGAGGCAGGATGTTCTGCATTCCCCGGCCTGCTGTTAGATATCATATCTGATCTTTAGGAAGCACCTCATATTAAAGAAAACTTGTTTTAAATATTCAAGTATCCCAAATTCTAGGCTGGGAGACCTACCCTTTCTCTTAGTATTGTTTTCTTTTCCTTCGTTACATTTAGCAAGACTTGTAATTATGAATATATTTGGTATAATCATTTATTTAACATTTAGGTCTGTGTTAGCTGTAGCTTTCATGACACAAAGAGCCTATGTGGCTGTAACCTCTTGTGTCTACTGTCTAGCACAAGACCTGACACACGGCAAGAGTTCAAGATACAGTGGTTGAATTAATAAATGATGCTAGCTTATGTAGGAATGGGAAATTACAGCCCTAAGTTTCTAGGCATAAATAAATTAGTGGACTAAAAATCAGTGGCCTTCTATGTTTTTTCAGATGTATTAATTAGCTGCCTGTTCATACCGTTCTCATGCTTTAATAGACAAGTGGTGGCAGGCACTGTAAATTTAAGAAATGATATGGGAAAAGCACAAGAAATTGAGGAAAGTTTATGTACTAACTTACTTTGGGGGGATTTTAGAAATATTTTGTATTCATAAACCGTTTTTTGTATTTTACCCATAGAATACCTCAGTACTTACGTAGACTTCTGTACTGGTGTTTGAGGATTGAAAGGTGATTTATGACTGATATGTCCATAAAAAGCCAGAGGCACAGTAACCGTGGTTCTAGAACCACAAGAAGTCTACTTGTTTGGTTCCTAGAGCATTGGCCCCAACCACTATTCTTCAAAATAGGCTTGTGGAAAGGGGCACGTGATGGAACCAGGAACTTCTAAAGCCACTGATGTAGCAGCAGACTTGTCTCAGGAAAATCAAAGAATCGTACAATTTTAGAGTTAAAAGAGACTTTAGGCCAATTCCCCTTAATGTATAGTCTGGAAAACAAGGACCTATAAGTGAATTCTAGGGTCATAAGCCCAGTTTATAACTTGTAATAATGTCACTCATGCCTGACCTCAAGCTCAGATCCTAAATTAGGTGTAAATTTGTGTAAATATTTTTTAAATTCTTATTTATTTTGACAGAGAGAGAGTACACACACACACGCGCAAGCAGGGGAGGGGCAGAGCGGTGGTGGGAGGGAGAGAATCTCAAGCAGGCTCCATGCTGTCAGCGCAGAGCCTGGCACAGGGATCGATATCATGAACCATAAGATCATGACCTGAGCTGAAATCAAGAGTCAGATGCTTAACCAATTGAGCCACCTGGGCACCCCTAAATTTGTGTAAATATTAAACTCATATTATAATCAATACTGATGCACATAATATAAAATGAGTCAATGGTTATAGCCTTGGTGATTTACCTTGAATAAGAAACAATCCCCAAATATATTTATTTCACGAGTTTGGAGTTTTTTATATTAGGTTTTCTCCAAAGTGAATCCCTGCTGAACTACTCTAATGAAATCCCACTTTAGTACAAAAAATATGTCACTTTTGGCGTGCCTGGGTGGCTCAGTCGGTTAAGCATCCGACTTTGGCTCAGGTCGTGATCTTGCGGTCCGTGAGTTCGAGCCCTGCGTCGGGTTCTGTGCTGATAGCTCAGAGCCTGGAGTCTGTTTCAGATTCTGTGTCTCCCTCTCTCTGACCCTCCCCTGTTCATGCTCTGTCTCTCTCTGTCTCAAAAATAAATAAACGTTTAAAATAAATAAATAAATAAATAAATAAATGTTAAAAAAATATATATATATGTCACTTGCTCCCGTTACAAACTCTTGCTGAGACCTTGGTGAGCTCACCATGTGTCACTTGGTGAGCTTACCATGTGTCACATGGTGAGACCAGAGCCATGTTTTCCAACAGCCCAGGCACAGCTATCAATAGCTGGAGTGGAGGGTCTCTTGTACCTGAATCCTAAATCCCTATCCTGCCAATTTTTTGCAACTCACCTGTTTCTGTGTACTTTTGAGGAAATTGATAGTTTTATGTGGCCATATATTAATATTTACTTTCTTGATAACAGAATTTGGTTAAGAAATGGCTAATTCTCCATAAGTATAGAGAGTTTTCTCAAATTATTTTTCTAGAGTACTTGCTTCCTACAATAAAATTGGCTGCAAATCGATAAAAGTGAGTATCAGTCGTATGTAAAAGACACATACAGATGTAACTAACTTTGCAGAGCAGCTCTTTACATAGATTAAAATGTTTTGTTCCTTATTATAGTACTGGGGTTTTCCCTTTGTATGATTTTCAGATCCTAGGAAGTTTGAAGTTAGAATCCTTCTGTGGCCTTCATTCACAGTTTGTAGAGTGAAGTGCTATTTTAGCCAGAAATGATATTTTCATGTGCCTACTAAGGCTTGTTTTCTTAAATCCCAATCCTGTTTTCATGATTTGATTATGCCATAACAGTTTTTGAGGCTTTATGCCAACTATCATTTAGTTTGAATGATTCTTTTTTAAATGAAAGAATATAGGAAAATGTGGTAATAATGTTCTTTCAAGAAAGCAAGTTACTGAACATTCTCCCCATATTCTATTATTTAAAAAACGACACCACCCATCTTTATCAAAGAGCATGTATTCATCCAAAATGCTGTTGTTAGTTAGAGGAAGGTATTGAAAGATGGCAACAAAGACCTATTTTGGTCTAAATATGGAAGGTGTCTTCCTCAACGGTGTATTCTCAGCACTTAGCAAACAATAGGGGATTATTAAATACTTTTGAGATAATGTTAAGATCAACTATGTGCACAGGAAATAATTAACATTAATTCATCTGCCTATAGTCTATAAGAAATAGATTGGATTTAACACAAATGCAATCATATAAGTGTTCATAAGGAGTTTGTAGAAAAACTGGGTAGAAAAGATGCTCTCTTTAATTGGAAAAATATCATAAAAATATTCCGTTGACTTGATAGAACATATGGAGCTGGCTGGGCAGATGGGTGGGAGTAGGTGGTTCCTGGCATGTGGAAGGGCCCCACAAGTCCATCTTCCTGCTCCTTGTCAGAAGAGAAATAATGATATACACACTAAGTGTTTCTCTCTGTTTTTAAATAAGGTTCATCTAGTTATGATACTTGGTCTCTATTTATATTTTTATACTTTCTGAGCTTTCAGTTCTCCTCTTTCCTGGACAAGTCTACTGTGATGAATTTATCAACTATTTTAATGGAGTAATTCTAGCTGACACAAATGGTGTAAAAAAAACTGAATTGATAGGATTGGTCAGTTCTTTTGCTGCCCTCTCCAGGGCTTACCTCAAGATTTGGGTCTCCTGATGTCCAATCCAGATCATGGACCATGGGGTGTGTGCATGTGTAGGCATTTAAAAACCTCCATATAAATTTAATAAAATTTTAAAAATTAAAATCAACAGTCCTGTTCACATTTTAAAGGAGCCTTTGGTTATAGTTACTTGTTTTTAGTGAAGATTCCTTCCACCCAATCTAGAACAAATTTGTTTCCTAAATTTGAGATTTTTATATTATATTATCTCCAAAGTGAGGTACCTTTGAACTTACTTTGCTGGGTCCAAATCTCAAATTTAGTGCAAGTGAAAATGTCATTTTCTCCCCTATGTTGTTAACTATTTGGCCTATGTACTTCCAGACTTAAAAAAAAATCTTGTGTATGTGTTGCCCCAAATGTAGGATGACTCACAGTCAGCATTTTGTAGCAACTAATGCTTAATCTTGGCTTTTTCTTGCACTTAAGGGGAAAAAAAAAAATATTCAAAACACACAAAACTTTTGTCTGCATCAGTATAGAATTAAAGTGATTATCTCTGGGGAGTGTTAAAATGGAAGTGGGAGGATGTGAAAACAGATAATCCTCCTTTTAATCAAATACTTCAATACTGTTTGAAATGAGAACAGATGATTTTTGTAATATATCCATTTTTAAACTTTTAATTATTATTCGCTTTTCAACCTCGTTATTTCATATTCATACAAAATTAACCAGGATAGTGTGACAAACTCCCGTATACCCGTGGCTCAGCCTCAATAATGGTCAACTCGTTGACAATCTTGTTTTATGCACATTCCATTTCCCACCTCTGTGTTACAGGAAACAAAATCAGATATTACATTTCAACCACAGATATTTCTTTATTTTTTAATTTTTATTTACTTTAGAGAGAGAGAGCGTACGAGTCAGGGAGAGGGGCAGAGGGAGAGAGACAGAATCCCAAGCAGGCTCCACACTCAGCATGGGGCTTGACACCGGGTGGGATCTATAACCCTGGGATCATGACCTGAGCCAAAGTCAAGAGTTGGACACGCAAATGACTGGGCCACCCAGGTGCCCCTGTAGATATTTCAATATATGTTTCTAAAAGAAGAGGACGCTTGGGGCGCCTGGGTGCCTCAGTCGGTCGACCTTCTGCCTCTGGCCTCAGGTCATGATCTCGAGGTTCGTGGGTTTGAGCCCCACGTCAGGATCTGTGCTGAGGGCTCAGAGCCTGGAGCCTGCTTCCGATTCTGTGTCTCCCTCTCTCTCTGCCCCTCCCCTGCTTGCTCTCTGTCTCTTTCTCAAATAATGAACATTTTTAAAAAATGTAAAAGAAGAGGACTCTTTATTTTTAACATAGACAAAATACCAGTTATCATATCTAAAATATTTTACAATAATTCCTTAATGTCTAATCAGTGTTCAAATGTCTTCATAAGTGGCATAAACAGCTTTTTGTTTGAGTTTACTTAAATCAGGATACAAATAAGGTCACATGTTGTGATAGTTGATACATCTTTTAAGTCTTTTTTAATCTGTAAACTTACCCCTATTTCATTCCCTTATTGTTGAGATGTATTTGTTTTTAAAAAAAAATTTCATCTAGAGTTTTCCATACCTTACATTTTGCTGACTGCTTCTCTTGAGGTCTGTTTGAACATATTCCTGGGCTCTTGTATTTTTTTTATAATTGATAGCTGGTAGCTTAATCTATTCTAGCAGTTTGATCAGATTCAGGTTATCTCTTTCAAAGCAAGATAGTGATAGTTTAGTGTCTCTTTTTTGTGATGTTAGCAACCACTGAAGCTCATGCCTTGATCCTACTTTATCCAAGGTGGCAAAATGATGGTATTCTAATTTTATCATCCCTTCTATTTGTTATCTAGGATATTTCTATAATGAAAAAAACCTCCTCATCTGCTACTTGATTTTCAGTGGTATAATTTCTTAGCGAAAACAAGACGGTTTCTTTCCGTCCCTCTGTTTATCATTTTTCAAAATAATGAGTTGGTTTTAGTGGTGACTAATTATTTTTCTCGTATCATTTGACAAACAGTTGAAATGTTACAACTAATTGCCATTATCATCCTTCTAGACGCTAAAATGGACCCATCTTTAGCCACTGAGAGTCTCTTCAAGGTGGTTCCTGAATCCTTTGATGATGACCCTAGTGTTCTTTTGATTGCTTTCTTGTATATTTCTTTCCTCAGACCTGGAGTCCACCATTTCTCTAAGGAGCCAGATTCCATTTAGTGGAAAATACCTGGAATGAAATAATTTTTTTAGTTGGATGTATACTTCGACCCAATCATCTGTCAGCACACCCTGAGTGTTGGGATTAAAACACAGATTTGGAGAAAAAAAAAAAAAAAGACTAGGGTTTGAATCCCATCACTTGCCAGCTTGGTGATCTTAGAAAACTTACAGGGCTGTAATGTGCAGCAACACAGCAAAGCAGCAGAGGCTAGAAGCACGGCGGCCCCGGTATTCTCTCCTGCACAGATGCCATAGGAAAGGATGGACCTGACAGCTGTTCTCAACAACGAGTCCCAGAAACTCCTGAGGTGGATAGAGGTTGATTCTGTCCACAGGCAGGGAAAGTAGCCAGGGGTAGGGAAGGCCTAGGGTCACAAATACGGACCAGGTTTGGGGGACGATGTTTTAGTTCTGCCCTTTCATCATCCCTGTATTGCCCTAGGCAGATTTCCCCCTTCCTTTTGGTGATGATTGCAGGGGCAGGGTATCAGGGGACAGGCCAGAAGCAGTGGGTAACCACAAGGCAGAGCTCTGACCTGGTAGGGTGATGAGCAGATGGCAAGGAGTATAGCTGGTCTGACCAGTCCCCAAGAACTCCCCTCCACACACACACACACACACCCCTGCTCTCACCCTCCTGTGGGCATCTGCTTGTAATACAGAGTGGCTGCCTCCAATAAAAGATTATTCAGAGGTTCTTTGGAGACCAGGTGAGCACAGTACCATGTGTCTCCCACAAAGGCACACGGCAGCCAGCACACACACCGATTCACCTGGAGAAGCACAGTCTTGCTAGATGTCTGCCCCTCTCCACGGGTGCATTTTCCTAATCAAGGCAGCTCGATGTCCAGAAGGGGCAAGGATGGGCTCAGAGGGCAGATTCTGAGAGCTGCAAGTTGGGAGAACAACAAATGGAATAACTTATACCGGAGAAGGCAGAACTCATGAAAAAACAGGAAAAGAAGTAAAAGCCAGAGTAATAAATGTGCTTAAAGAAATGAGAGAATTTACTGGGAACAGGAAGTGAGAATAAGCAGTTGAGGAAAAGAATTAGAAATATTAAGAAGTAGTTCTGCCAGACAGAGCAAAGAGTACTGTATGATATCATTTATATGTGGACTCCAGAAAGAAAGAAAGAAAGAAAGAAAGAAAGAAAGAAAGAAAGAAAGAAAGAAAAAGAGAAAAAGGGAAAGAGAAAAAGAGAAAAAGTTAAACTCGAAGAAACAAAGGGTAGAACAGTGGTTGCCAGTGCCCGGGGGCTGGGGAAAATAGGGAGAGGTTGTAAAAGAATACAAACTTCCAGGGCTCTTGGGTGGCTCAGTCAGTTAAGCGTCCGACTTTGGCCCAGGTCATGGTTTTGTGGTTCATGGGTTCGAACCCTGCGTCGGGTTCTGTGCTGACAGCTCAGAGCCTGGAGCCCGGTTTGGATTCTGTGTCTCCCTCTCTCTCAGCCCCTCCCCCACTCACGCTCTGTCTCTCTCTCTCTCAAAAATAAACACTAAAAAAAAATTTAAAAAACACTCAAAAAATAATAGTAATAAGTAGTAAATATGTGAGCTGGAAGATTAGGCCAAGGAGTTTTGCCTGGAGGCATTGCAAAAGGACAGGGTAAAGAATGGAAAAGAAATTTGGAGAATCAGACATGTGTCCAAGTCCATTTGGTAGGGACACCAGAAGAACAAAAGGAAATGGAAGGAGGCCAATAGTTCAAGCAATAATGACCAAGAATTTCCTAATGTCACACGGCGAGTGAGTGGCAAAGCCAGGAGGTCAGGCCAGGCAAGCTAGCGGGAGTACATACTCCGGACGACTATTTACTGCCGTGGGTCTACTCTATCAGCTGCCAGTCTGGAGGAGGAGGAGAATGAAGTTGGGCATAGGACATAAAGAGGGGACAAATACACAGTAAGCAGAAGAGAGCCTGTGCATGAACTGAGGGAGACGGTGTGGCAGGAGCTGGGGAGAAGTCTGGATGCCTCAACTCAATGCCACTGAGGTCTTTAAAAACAAGCATCGAAACCCCCCGAAACACAGAAACCACAATCTAAAACTAACAACAAAAACAGACAAGTCACTTCCTCTCTCTAATCCTCAATTTCTTCATCTATAGATGGCGGACAGTAACTCCCACGTCATAGGGCTGTTGTAAAGATGAAATCATAGAATATAGGTAGGATTCTGAGCACAGAAAACAATGGCGTATACTGACATAAAATAATACAATTTCTCATTTAACAATTCAATAAATACTTGTTGAAGATCTATGCTCCAGGCAGTGGAATACAAAAGAGACAAAAATCTTTGAAGCTATGGAATTTCTGGGGTAGAAGGTGGGGTGGGGGGAAGGAAAAAGGCAATACACGTAAATAGATAACAATGTGAGGCACTGTGAGTGCTAATAATGAAATTAGAGCAGGGTAAAGGAATAGAAAATGGTGTTGTGAAGAGGTACTATTTTGGCAGGATGGCTGGGAAAGGTCTATGGAAGGAATAAGGTGAGTGAACGAGGCAGGAAACATCTGGAGGAGTGGAGTTCTTGGTGGCGGTAACAGTAAGTGCAAAGGTCCTGAGGTCGGAGAGTACTCGGCATGTTCAAGGAATGGCAGGATGCGGATACCCTGCTTGGGAGCAGAGTGAGCCAGGGAATAGCAGTTGGAAATTAGGTCAGAGAGGTAGCCAGTGGCCAGATCATTTGGGTCTTCATCCATCACTAACAATTCAGCTTCTCTTTCATTATTTGAAAACTTTGTCTTTGCGTACTCCACTAAATCGGAGGTGCCGACCATGGAAGGGAGCCTTCTTATTTAGCAAATTCTTTCCAGCCTCTATGATTTAGTATGGTGGAAGACACCTCTGCCTTCTAGTTGAGCAGAAGACACCTCAAAATTGAGCTTCCTGGGCAATTGCCTTCTCCCTGCTGGCCACAGGAAGTATCTTTTGATCCACAGTGGTCATTCCAAACCAGTCCTCTAATTGCCCTTGTCCAGGTCTGTGGGAATTACTCAGAAATGTTTGAAGTCCCAGAGCCAGGCACACTCTGAGTCACCCCTTAGTCTAGGGGAGGTGGCCAGGAAGCAGCCAGGATTAGGACAGGTTTTGATTTAGTGCTGTTGGATTCTCTTACACAGCCCTGCCCATACCCGAGGGTAACCCTATCTCACCCCTGCAGGCTGAGGTGCCCATGTACTTTAGAAAGGCATCCTAAACATGACCCGATCCTTCCCTCCCCCAGCGAAGGTTGTTCCTTTTCACTAATCACAGCAGAAGATTCCTTTCATCTCCCATACCTCTCAGAGCACGGGTGTTCTGGCCACAGCTGCCCATGTCAGAAACCAATGCACCCTGTTCTTGTTTTCCTTTCCAGTCATCTCTGGATTTGTAATCCGTCTGGAAGGCTGTCCATTTCTCACCTCCATAAATCTGGTAGCGCAGTGTGCATTATTACTTGCCGACAACTTCTTCTAGGTGTTTAGATTGTATTTAAAAAAGCAAGCCCAGAACTAAGGAGATGAAGGAAAAATAAACTAAGGAATTGCTGCCTATGTGGGGTTATATTTAAATCTGTCATCTAGGACTTCTGGAAGGAGAAGAGTCAGCGGCCCATAAGATGGTAACCGAGCTTTCTTACGTTGCACACTGTTCCAGAGGTTTGGTGCAGCTATCAACGTTAACAAACAGGACGGTGTCAGGAAGAGAGCCATATCTGGACTGGCCCCTTGATTCTGAACACCATAATTATGAGAAGGTAAATACAGACCCTTTAGCTCCAAAGATTTTTTTTCTGAGGTTGGTGGAAAGGACTCAAAAATGTACATCGTGAAGATGGGAATCAGTTGACCTTTTTTACTCAGAAATGTAGGGCTGGCTTGACTTAGTGTAATAATGTGCCTCACCATCACTCTCCTTATCTCTTGTGAACAATAATTTCAAGATTTCACTCAGAATTTCTCTATCCCAGTAATTCTTAGCAACCTGGCACTTATTCCCACTAGCATGCCACAAAATGGCCTCAGGCAGACATTCTGGAGAAGCTTAGACGGGGGATAATTATAGCTTCGTGTACCTGCCCTCATGCAGCTCAGTGGAGGTGTTGATGACTCCTTGGCCAGCCATGACAAATTCTATAGCTGGGTACCTCCCCAAGAGCTGGGCCAGGTAGGAATAGAAGCGGGAAGAAACACAGTGCAGCTCAGTTCATGAAGGAGAGAATCACAACTAACTATTCTGAGAAATTAGGGTATTGGTATTTCTGACCTTCTGAGATGGCTGTCACGAACAGAAATGACTCGACAGTCCCAGAAGGCGTGACTTCGTGCCAGTCCAAAGCAACCTCTTGTGTGCCGGAGGAACCATGGACCTGACTTGCCACTTCTGACTCCACGCAGGTGAGAACATCAACTCATGGGCGTCTCGGGGACTCATGAAATAAGCAGTAGCAAGGTATTAAAGTTCTTCGAAAGGATTTGCTGTCTGATCTTATAGCAGCAGCATCCATTTCCTCTTTTGCTGGGAACACTCAGATAAACGTGGGAAAGGAAGGACTTGAAATAACTGGAGACGTAAACTCTGGATATGTGTCTTCTCGGTAGCCCAATTTATTATTGGCCAAGTAGGGCTGTCCCCTGGGGAACCACTGTAAGGGGGGGAGTTTAGAACACACTCTATCCTGCCCATGTTTTTATTTCCCCTGTTTTTACCATCCCATCTAATTTCGGCCACCTGACTCACAGTGGTACTTAAAAAACCCCGCAGCAACATAATAGAATAAAATGAACGTGAACCTCAGAAGTAGAGATGAGGAGGCCTGAATCTTGGTTCTACCATTCACTTAGGTACTCGATGTTTTAGTACATGTCTAAGTACAAGGTACTTAATGTCTTGAGGTCTCAGTTTATTTCTCTGGGAGACAAGAAGAAACACCAACCTGAATGTGTTAGTCTGCCCAGGCTGCCATAGCAAAATACTACGGACTGTGTGGCTTAAACAACAGAAATTGATTTTCTCACAGTGCTGGAGGCTGGAAGTCCAAGGTTAAGGTGCTGTCAGGGTTAATTTCTGGCGAGGCCTTTCTCCTTCTTTCTTGCTATGTCCTCATGTGGCCTTTCCTCTGTGCATGCACAGAAAGAAGGGCTCTGGTATCTCTTCCTCCTGTTATAAGCATACCAGTCCTACTGGATAAGGGTCTCACCCTTATGACCACATTTAACCTTTAAAAAAAATTTTTTTTAATGTTTATTTTTGAGAGAGAGAGAGAGAGAGAGAGAGAGAGAGAGAGAGAGAGACAGAGACAGATCCGAAGAGGCTCCAGGCTCTGAGCTGTCAGCACAGAGCCTGACATGGGGCTCAAACCCATAACCATATCATGACCTGAGCCGAAGTCGGACGCTCAGCTGACTTAACCTTAATTATCTCCACAAAGGCCTGATTTTCAAATACGATCATATTGGGGGTTAGGACTTCAACATATGAATTTTGGAGGAACACAGTTCAGTTCATGACACTCAAACACTGTCACAAGGATTATTTCAGATTATATATACACGGGACCTAGCCTTGTTCCTACAGCATAGTAAGTGCTCAATGGATATTGATTCCCTTACCTTCCACCCTGTGTCACTTACCTCCCTAGTGGGTCGCTTTCTTCTCTACACACGAGAAGCTGGATTTGGCCCTTTGCATAGATGGAATAGATAGTTACAGAGTGAACAGAGGGATTCCCAAGACTTGAGTTTGGTAAAAAATTTCTCCCTTCCCTCATTGGTGTGGTTTCCAGTTGTAGGCCTCCTTTTCCCAGCTACTGTCTCCATTCTGGGAACTGTCCTTTCCACACGAAGGGCTGGGTCCAGCCACAGCAGCCTGTTCCTTCTCCAACACCCTGGTTTGACATCTCAAGCCACGTTCTTTCTCCTGAGAATTTGGATATGAGATTCAGTCCCTGCTGAAGGACAGAAGCCAGCCTGCAGATACAGAACGAGGTTGAGGATAATGTTGATAGGTACCATAATTGAGAGCTCAGTGTGTGTCGGGTACCGTTCTAAGAGTTGTTCACATGTTGACTAATTTAATCATCACCACAACTCTACGAAGTAGATATGTTCATCATTTCCCCCTTTTTACATCACTTCCCTTTTTGAGGAAATTCACGTGTGAGAGTATTCGCCCAGGGTCACATAGCTATTAAGTCTGGACACAGGCAAGAGTAGAGGATCCTACCTCCAGACAGAAAAGCAGAGTATCCTCACGGTTCTTTGGTCTTGCCCTTCTTTCTCACGGATTCCATGACATGTTTCGGTATCTTGCCAATGAATTCCTTTTTTGCTTTAACAGCCTGAAGTGGGGTTTTGTTCTTTTTTTTTTTTTTTTTAATTTTTTTTTTCAACGTTTATTTATTTTTGGGACAGAGAGAGACAGAGCATGAACGGGGGAGGGGCAGAGAGAGAGGGAGACACAGAATCGGAAACAGGCTCCAGGCTCTGAGCCATCAGCCCAGAGCCCGACGCGGGGCTCGAACTCACGGAGCGCGAGATCGTGACCTGGCTGAAGTCAGACGCTTAACCAACTGCGCCACCCAGGCGCCCCATGGGGTTTTGTTCTTAAACCAAGGGAACTTGTGTTAAGACGGTGGCCCTGGCCTATTAGATCTGTTGCACTCAACATTAGAGGATGTTTTTGAGATTAACAACCATAGATAAGTGACTATGGAAAACGGTTTGTTAATGATTCAATTCCATTACAAAGTTTAAAATTGGTTAAATCACAATGAAGAAGGTCTCCTAGAAGAGATTACGGGAGCAGCAAAAGCCTCCTTTTCCGGAAAACACATGATTTTAAGCAGTAACGATGGGGTAAGCTCATCACTAGCAGTGTGCCCTACAGAGGACGTGGTGATTTGATGTGTGTGTGCATATGCCAGTGTGTTGGGAGAGAAGTTGTGTGTTTTCTATCAAGCCTGGAAAAGCTGGAAGGCAATGTTGGGGCTGAGGGAGGTGAGGAAAGGTGAGCCAGGTGAATACGATCGGAGAGCTTGTGCCTTTAAGGTATGATTCAAAGGGTGTTTGCAACCCAAGGTGAAATTAGTACAGAAGGATAATGAATACATTGAAATTGGTGAGATACTTAATACTGCCTAGGTTTTATTTCCTTTAAATCTTGCTGAAAGTACCAATTATGCAGGTGCATTACTCTTTCTAGAGTGTTCTCGATTAATACATACTGCTAGTGCATAGACTTTTTAAAGAGTAACCAACTGGCTGAATCATGTACATTTTCATTGGGAAAACTAGTGATGTGCCTAGAGTGAGTCTGCCTGATGTCCAGAGAGCTAGCTGACATCATTGCCCAGTGGTCAACTGTAGCTGCCGGAAGAGCTGGCAAAGCGTCTCAGGACACTGATTCGCCTTTCTCCTCCCAGCCTGAAAAAAGTACAACCTCAAAATGTTTGTGTTTGACATTCTTTCCAGAAGGAAGTAACAAGGAAATAATTCACTTGTGGCTTAGGTTGACTGGCATGGAAATGGAGGCTCTTTCTCCTTTGGCTCAGGTCAGGGAGTAGTCAGACCCTGTGGGAGGCAGAGCGCCTTCTGCTGAAGCATGGGTAAGGGAAAGAGAAATGAAATGGAGAGGAAATGGCCAGAGAGGAGGATGCGTCAGGAGCGGGAGGGTTGAAACATTAGGACACATGACGAAATGGAGACACTGTGTGACATGAAAGGATGCAGGTAATGCCAAACCTCCAAACTACAGAGCAAACCCAAATAAACAGTGTACTCTTTCATCTAATCTGTGCCTCCGTAAGTCTCTCATCATTTTCCCAATATTTGAGAAGAATGTGACTTCCTGGCTTAGTCAACCTTGGGAAAGGCTGGGATGGGGGCCCTTCTCTTACTCAAACGAAAAGCCTCAAAGATGCAACCAGGAGGGAAGAAGGGCTCAGTCTTCTGCGTCAGAAATGATTCTTCCAAAGCAGGTACCACGAAACTATCTCTAAAGGGAGAATGCATAGTGCCCTGGTCACCACATTGCACAACTCCAGAGAATGCCATTCACACTCCAGACTATTTTAGCTCATGGAGTGGCATTGGGTACTATACTCGTGGCTGTACACAACAGCTCTGCAGAATCATGTAGCTTTAAAAAAAAATCACCAGATAACAAGAAGTTCATATTGTAGTCAATTCGCTAATTTGTTTTTATTAATAAGGAGCTCTGAATGCACACAACGATTAAAGCACTCTTATATTTCATCCTTCCAAAGTGTTCTCTTTCTTCCCTTCTCATGCTTAACATGTTTTTGTGTTAATAACCTAGACTTATTTTGTTATATTTGTGCTGTTAAGTCAGTGGTTCTGAATTAAAGGGGGGTGGTATAACAGAATTACTTCGGAAACGTTTTCAAAAACATCAACAGGAGAATGGATAAGCAAAGTGATATGTACACACACATATACACACACACACAGTGTAATTCCAGTCATATGAAGTTTGAGAACTAGCAAAACTACCCTATAGTGACAGAAGTTAGCCTGGAGAGGTGATACAGACTGAGAGGTCACACAAGGGAAATTTTTGTGGTGATGGACATTTTCTGTATCTTGGTCCGGACGGTGGTCCCATGGATGCATCCATATAAAAAAAAATCGTCAAACTGTACATACAATGAAGGGCGTGCTTTTTATTGAATGTGAAAATCTTCTCAATAAAATACTGTCTAAAAATATGAGTTACACACATACACCGACCCAAGCCTCCACCCTGAACTCAGGGACTAAGATGAATGAAATATGGGGAGCAGGGGATACAGACCAGCATTATGTATTTTTAAAAAGCTCCCCATTGTTATTTCCCACCATTACTATCAGCTTCCAAATATTCTTTTAGGATAAAAACAAATACATGAATAATATATAGGACTTTAACATTTGTGGAAGAACGCTGGAGATCATAAGCGTTTTCCCACAAAAGTTTGCTTACTTTCCTGTCCGCTTTGATTGAGGAACTTGTTTTGTTTTGCTTTGAGTGATTTCAATGTTTCTGAAGGTGTACAATTAATAAACTAATGGGAGGAAAAATTGGAGATAGGAAGAATCATGAGGGCCCATGAAATTCTGCCTGTATTTAGAGTTTGAATCAGGTTTAGAACAAGTTGAAATATTTGGGGGGATATTTAATATTGACACGTTCCTAAAATTGCAGTTTTCAAGTAAACCTGTCAGATGTATTTGGGACCTGTGCTATCAACTATCCTGTTCATTCTGATGCATATTAAGGAGATTTGAGTGTGATGCAGATTTAGGAAGTGTTTTTTTTTTTTTTTTTTTTCTTTTTAAAAAGTAGCTTGTGACTAGCTTTTATATAGTTATTCAAAGAATGAAAGGCTTTTTTTCACTTCACATTGGACTTTCTATTTAAAAAATATTCTGGGGTGCCTGGGTGGCTCAGTGGGTTGAGCGTCTGGTTTCAGCTCAGGTTATGATCTCACAGTTCATGAGTTTGAGCCCCGTGGAGGGCTCTGTGCTGAAAGCTCAGATCCTGGCATCTACTTCAGATCCTGTCTCCCTCTCTCTGCCCCTTCCCCACTCACGCTCTCTCTCTCTCTCAAAAATAAACATGAAAAAAATATTCTTACTTGTGTATTGCTTTTCTGTGATCTATTCTAAAGACAGAAATATGGCTGGTCGGATGTATTTCATGGGTTTCTAAATTAATAATATTTTTTTTAATTTTTAGGAGTAAAATTATTTAAATGGAGTCTGCAGGCTTAGTGCTAAATCTTAGTGTGTGAGTTGTGTGTGTGTGTGTGTGTGTGTGTGTGTGTGTGTGTATGTGTGTATTTTGCCTGTGAACACCCCACCCCGCAACACCCCCCACATTCATTCTGATTCCGAAGGCAGTGTGAAAACAGTTCTCTCCCTGAGACATCCTGGCTTTATCACTTAGCTTCCTCCATAGGCATGCGGTCTGCCTGGAGGACCATACATTCATTCAAGGTCAGACCTGGGAAAGACCTCAGAGATGAAGTAATTCAACCAAACTCTGACCTCCATGTCACACTCCACTTAAAAAATAAACTTAGGCCTCAGGGTGAAGTGGCTTGTTCAGGGTCACCTGGCTGGTCAGAGGCAGAACCAGAATCGTATGTCTACATGCAACCTTTGTGCCTCCATACCACTGCTGTCTCGGCATTCTGTGCTCAGAGTTGGGTATCACAGAGGGGCAATACACAAATGCCATTTCCTTTCCTCCAAGACCCCAAGAGGCCTCTCCTCTGTATCACTTTGAGAGCCTGCAGGGATTTACTTATTTTTAATGTGAATCCTATGTTGGTGAAATTTTGAAGAGTTTAAGAGCTTGCAATTTTGGGGCCAGACAAGGGTCCATTATCCTAGTTCACTAGCTGTTGTGAACCTTGGTGAGACAGGTGATTTCTTCACTCCTCGCTTTTCTCGTCTAGGAAATGGGGTAATCACACGGGGGCACATACAGTGCTTTTCATACTTCCTGGAGCACAGCAAAGCATTCGGAAATTTTCTTTGGAAATCTAGCAAGTCCATACTGAAGCCATCCAGCTATCTCCTTGAAAGTTTGAGAAACTGACTTCAATTTTCTTCAGCCTTTTCCTTCCGCCCCTGTGTGGGGGCTTCTTGACTTCACTGTTCCGGTGGTTGGCAAATACTCAGAGAAGTCAAGTCACCACAAATTGGTACATGATGAGCACAGTAGGTTTTGCTTTTTAGTTCCCAGTTCTCTTCCCTGAGAGCTCCGGATTTTTGTATGAGATGTGGGACACTGAAGCAATCTGGGACATCTTCTGTGACAACGACTCCAAGGACCCTTTTCAACCCAAGAAAGGGCTAAAGGATTGGGTTTTGAGTCCTGGTAAGAGAACAGACCCCTAAGACATATTTTTGGTAACGCAAAGGACCACGGAAAAGTAGACGATACTAAGAAAACGATTTTTACAGCTACAAGAGCCAAGGCTTTCAGGAGCTGGGAGGCTCCGTCACCCCTTGGATCATGAGCAGGGCTGGTCCTAAACCCAGATTCCCTCGCCAGGCTGGGTGCTTTTACCATCACGGCCGCTGCGTCGCATTAACCCCACCTCTGAAAGTGCTAAGGAAGTTCCCTCCCAGTGCCCACCCAGGCGGGGAGGGGCAAGGCTGGGGCACGGAAAGAACCGGGGAAACGACGTATTCCAGCTCCCAGCACACACAAAACTGCTTGCGCGATTCGGCGCGTGGGGAGAAGCGGGGGTGGGGGGGGGGGGAGTTAGACGCCAGATCCAGGACGCAGAGACTCCCGGTGCGCTGGGGAGAGACCTGGAGATTGCATGCTCGGGAAGCCACCTTCCTTTCCCCTGGTCTGTCTCCCCTTGTGCAGTGGCTGCCTGGGGACGCCCCGCTCGGAGGGTTTCTCCCAGATGAGACGTCCCGTCCCTGCCCACGGTCGGGGCCCGCGAGTGGCCGCCTCTGCCCCGCCCCTGCGGTTTCCGAAGGTCTAAGGGGGATTTTTTCCCCCCCTTCCCGCCCCCGTCCCTGCCTCCGCCAGGAGCGGCGCTAGGTCATGCCGGCTGCGGTGGCTTTTCCTTCTCCACTCCCACGTCTCTGACTCCAGGGAGTTTCACCCGTCCTCCCTCCTCAGCCCTCACCTTTAAACAGTTCCCCAAGCCACCGCTCCAAAAGTGCGCGACTGCTCCCGGGCCTGCACACGGAGCTCCTGCCGCCCGGCATTCCTCGGATTCCAGCGCTGTGACGTCCCCGAGGCCGGCTCGCCTCCAGCCCGGGAGCTCGGGCTCCAAGTTTCGGCGCTCCCCCGCGCGGACGCCCCCCCCCCCCCGCCGCCCCGCCGCCCCGCCGCGCGCGCCTCCCGGGCGCATTCCTCCCC